GTCACACCACGAGGAAGTCTGTGTCGTTGGCGACCAGATGTGCTGCACCAGGCCAGCAGGGCAGTGCTGCCACCAGAAAAGGGTGCTGCAGGCCGCCCCGTGCCTGCCTTTGTGTTTGAGCTGGAAGGCCTGAGGCGTCCACGTCGGGGCTTGCACACAAGGCTGCTCCTCTCTTCTCGGCCAGCATTGCCGAGCGTGGGGACTAAGAGCTACAGTGACAAGGCCTCGTGCCACAGCGTCACCACCTGGCGGCAACACGCAGAGCAGAGGAGCCAGGACACTGGGCTGCTCTCCCATCCACCACGCATCCTTGCCCTCGCGGTGCCTGATCCAGCGGTGACACTGCGTGGGGGCGGTCAGATGTCGCCACGCGCTTCATGGGGAATAAACCATGTTCACTGCAAGCACACGTCTCCCTGGGTGCCACCCAGTTTCTATAGCGATGGCGCTTACCACGGCTCCAGCTCCGACAGCGTGGTGGTTGCCATAGCTGCGGAGTCGGCCAGCCCTGGGGCCTATGGGGCAGTGCTACCTGGTTGCAGGACAGCCCTGTGATCTGGGAGCATCCTGTCCTATGGTTACAGCCGGGGCCCCTGGGTTAGAAGGCAGCTTCAGGTATAGTGCGTGCTGGTGTAGATGTGGCATCCCACGGTGGGGTGAAATGGACAGACTTAGCATGTTTAGAACTTTCCTAAAATTATAGAGCAAATACTTCCTCATTGCCTCAGCTTCTCTGGAGATTCAGCACCATATTCTGGAGTCTGTTGTGGTGGTGGTGCCACAGCGTCACCACCTGGGACAGAGCCATGCAGAGCCATATGCGGTGACCAAACACTACAGTGAATGTTAACGCTTTTAGAAAGTATTGCAGTAAAAGACACATTTGCACAAATCCCCCTCGAAACACTCCTCATCGCTCACTCTGCCAGCATTCTCGTCCCTGTCTGTGGCAGCTCTGCAGTCCTGAGTGTCCAGTGAAGGCTGGGTGTGGTGGTGCATGCTGTAATCCAGCACCGGGGAAGCTGAGGCAGGAGGAGCACCATGAGCTCACCCAGGCTACAGCCTGGGCTACAAAGTGAGCTCAAGGCCAGCCTGAGCTGCATAGCAACGCCCTGTGTCAAAAAGACAAAAACAAAAACTACTTGGTGAAGGCTGCTGCCTAGGGCCACCTGCAGAAAGACAGGCAGCTCATAGAAACGAACAGACAACCAAAACAGAAAAAGCCCTACCCAGTGCACTAGACCTGTCCCTCGTGACCTCGTCCCTCAAGTCTAAAGGACCGTGGAAGGGCAGCATTTTCACATCAATTCAAGACACTCAGGCAGCCGCACAGCCCTACTAAAGACCCTTTCATATTCGTTGTTGTCTTTTGCAAACTCAAAATAGTATGCTGGCCTTTCACAACCAGTTTCCTTTGGCCGTCCTCTGAATATTTTCACCGGTTCTGCCCTCCCGGGTGATGTGAAGACACGCCGTGCCACGGGTGTGAAGCCAGGGCTCACCTCTTGGAGAGATTCCCCGCAGGCAGGCGACAGGGCTGGCCCAGGGAGGGGAAGGCGCAGGCCAAGAGCTCTGCAGGTGAAGTGCTTTCTGCTCATGTGTGTATCTTGCTTCATGAGGGTTCATCTCACATAGGGACTGGGTAACCCTCCCAAGAATTCTTACATTTATTTACGCATCAGTTGAGGAGCCTCCGGCTCATTTCCGCTGCCCAGGACTCTCGTGGACAGCTTTTCCCGTGGGCGTGTTTCCTGTCATCTTGCGGGTACATCTGTGTCCCAGCCTGTCTGCTGGTACTGTTTGTCAACACACGCTGGGTGTTGGGAAAGAACGGGAGCTTTTCGCGGTGCATGCTTTGGGGTGTCCCAGTCACCCTACTTCGGCACTCTCGCCCTCTCCAGGAAGTCCGGCCCTCAGTAACCCTAACCCTATCCCCACTTGGGGGACTAAGTTCCATATTCAAACTGCAGCAGTGCATGGTGCATTTGTCATGTCATAGCTTGGTGTTTAATGTGGTGAAGTGCCACCAAGCTGTCCCACGGTGTCCCCTAGCAGCCTTACACACTTCGTCCCCATCAGCGGCGTAGGAGAGCGCCTTTCCCATGCCTCCCTTCCCTCCATGGAATGCTTTCCAGCCTGTCAACATGAGTCCCTTCGCACATATTCATGTGCCAGCATTGTCCCCACCCTGTGGGTTGCCACTTCATGTTCCTGTTGATGTCCTTTGAGACACAGAAGTTTTAAACTGTGACAAAACATGATGTCTCCCTCTTCCCTTTGTGGCTGTGCTTTCCGCGCTGAAGCCTGCCTTTGGAGGCAATCTTCCCCTTTTGGGATTTCTGGCTTTGGATCGAGTTGACAGTCGTAATGCAAACCTTCTCCTGAGATGGCTTTGTGTGCTTTTATGGCTTTCTTCATTTTCTTTTTCTTGTGTGCTCTCATTTTCAAGGGTGGCGCTGCATGGGATGGCCTCGTTGAGGCCAGTGACCTGTCACTCAGCCCACGTGCTGTGTTGTCAGCATGCATCCTATAGGGAAGAGGTGTAGTGCTCAGCAGCTGGCCAGGGCGAGCTGGCGCCTGGGCCCGCCTGTGTGGCCGGCTGCGGTCAGGGCAGTGCCCCTGGGGGGAGGGAGGGCCCAGGATGCCAGCCCTCTCGCATGCATGCCTGCTCACCCACATGCTGGTGGAGAATACCAGTCCATTGGCCCAGTAACCAGGGAAGTGATCATCAGGGCAGAGACCTGGGGACACCCAGCTGCCTGCTGCCTGGAGCCTAACGAAATTAGAGCTTGGTTCACTCGAAGTCCAAATCCAGCAATACAGTGACAAAACAATGGCAGAGGAGCCCTCGGCAGATGAGGGCGAGTGCCCCGGCCTGCCAGCAGTGCGGTGACCTGTTGCTGCTAAGTGTCAGGGTCCCCTTCCAGCTCTGCTTTCTCCAGCAGAAATGACTTTAGCTAAAACTGCTGCTGGCGCACAGAGCATCGCCAGTGCTTCAAAGTGGATGAAAGAAACCTCACTTTCTCTTCCAAGCCTCTTTGCAGTGTGTGTGTGTGTGTGTGTGTGTGTGTGTGTGTGTGTGTGTGTTGCTGGGGACTGAACTTTGGGCCTTCACACTAAGCTACATCTCCAGATTTTTTTTTAAATTTTGAGCCAGTGTCCTGCTGAGTTGCCTACACTCGGCTCACACCAGTGGTCCTCCTGCCACAGCCGTGCGAGGACCCGTCCCGTGGCCCACCAGCAAGCACCCCATGCTGGCAGGAGGCACAAGAAAGCAGGTCTTATAGCCGAGTGTGGTGGTGTGTGCCATCGTCTCAGCACTCAGGAGGCTGAGGCAGGAGACCCTCTGCAAGTGTGAGGCCAGCCTGGGCTACATGGTGAGTTCATGGCCAGCCTGATCTGTGTAGTAAGACCCTTTTCAAAACACAACAAGTGAAAGCAGGCAGAAGCCTGTTGTCGTCTGCTCTGCCAGGCCCTGCCCGGGCTGGGTTGGGGTCAGGACGGACTCTAAGTACTTTTGTTCCTCTCCAGGAGATGGTGGCTATGGCAGCAGCGACGACCCTGGATCCGGTGGGTGTCTGCACAGTGAGGTTGCCCCTGGGAGGAGCATGCTTCCCACAGTCCTGAGGCTGGTAGCAGAGGCCACAGGGACCACCAGTCACAGAGGGGCTGGCACCATTGTCGTGTCTGCCTGTAGTGCTTCTCCAAGAGGAAATCTCTAGCAGAGACCAGAAGCACTTGGCAACAGGCTGGGGGAGGCAGTCCTGAGCGGCCCCAGCCCCAGGCCTGAACCCCCTCCCCCGTGCCCAGGCATGTCTGCGGAGACAGGCACCATCGCCGGCGTGGCCAGCGCCCTGGCCATGGCGCTCATTGGCGCTGTATCAAGCTACATCTCCTACCAGCAGAAGAAGTTCTGCTTCAGCATCCAGCGTGAGTACCTGCGGGGGGGGGGGGGGCCGGGCCCCGGTGGGCCAGATCACTTGGACCCTCCTGGGCCCCCAGCTCCCCGAGGCGTGTGCAAACAGTGCTCTGTTCCATACAAGAGGAAGACACCAGGATGTCCCTGTGGGCTCTGATCTCACCCAAGGACAGAGCATCATTGTGGACCCTGCTTAGTGACTCCTTGTTTTGCTGAGCAGAAAGCAGGGGACACAGTGCCCAGAGCACTGTCCCAAGAGCCAGGGCTCACAGTGCTGCAAGGACCACCCTTCTGGTCCCAAGAGCAGGCAGCCTCGCTTGCTCCTTGTTCGTTCGGTTTAAACCCTGGGGTTTCAGGAGCAGACTAGAGCTGCCTCCTGCCCTGCCTTTCACCTGCTCAGCTGGAGGCTGTAGCAGAGCGAACAGCAAGGTGATGGGGGAATTGTATTATCACAGAGGTGAAACTGGCTATGGTGTCCCATACCCATCATTCCAGTGCTTGCAGGGGAGGCTGAGCCAGGAGGGTCACCATAAGCTGCAGGCCAGCCTGGGCTACATAATGAGCTTAAGGCCAGCACACTGATACCTTGACTCAAAACCCAACAAAAAATGGAGGAGGACCCTGCTTCAGAGTCCCACACCCAGGTTTGGGCACCAGGGCAGATGTGTTGCCATTCGCTGAGCCTGAGCAGGTGTCCCTAGCTCCAGGCTGGCCAGTGTTGCTTCTTCCTCCTCCCCTCTCCGCAGCACTGGGCGCTCTCTGTCCTCTCGGGGAATCCCAGGGTTTGGTCTTGGGTGGTTGTACACTGTGCTCCTGTGGGACGCCCTGGCCAGAGCAGGGCCACAGACTGCAGCGTACCCCGGTACTGCTGGCATCTGCCTGCTCACTCCACTGGGAGCCGGGCTGTAGGGTGCCAGGCCCCCTAACAGTCAGGGCTGAGGCTGCACTGCTCTGAGTGTTCCCAACACTGTCCCTTCTGTTGGTGGCCAAACCCTTCGCAGACCTCCGACAAGGGTCACAGCCCTGGATCTTGCCTCTTCCTTTGTCTGGAAGGAAAGCAGGCAGCGCCTTATCCAGTGTTTTGTCCCAGAGGGGTGACCCTCCTCTGGGTGACCCTTCAGTCACAGCCCCAGCCCTGTGGCTTCCTGGAGGCCAAGTGGTCTCGCCACACCTCCTCTGCTGCCACCTGTCTTGCTGGTCCAGGCAGTCAGGGGTCACCAGCTGGACAGACCAGGCCCTGCTCCCTCCCTGCCCACCCAAATCCCTTGACAAAGCGTGGGCCAGGCAAGGCCCCTGTGGGAGCCTGGTGCCCATTGACCCACAGGCTAGAGGGCTGGGGACAGGCTGGCTTCTTTCCCTCCCTCCCCCCTCCCTCTCTTCCTCCCTCCCACAGCAAACAGGGGGCATGGTGTGCGCCGGTGGCAGGGTGGACAGGGGGCTCCTAGGGACCCTGTGCCCTTTGCCTCCCCTCTCAGAAGCCTCAGGTCTCCTCAGCCACACCCCCACCGCCCTGTCCCCTGCCCTCCTGCCCTCCACCAGGGCGTCTGCTCCATGTCCTTGCTCCCTCGAGACCATAGTGCAGTCCCGGACCCAGGCATCCAGAGCCCTCTGAGGTCCTCTTCTTCTGTGGCCCTTGGACCCCCTCCCCTCTCTAGCTTCCATTCCCCACTCAAGTCTTCAGTTCTTCGCCCCTTCCGCAGGCTTCCTCCAGCTTGTGCGCGCGGCCACATCGCCCCCTGCCGCCCGCGCTGGGTCCCTGCACCTGATCCCAATTCCGGACGCCTCTTGCGGGACCACACCTTTGTCTTGTTGGACTCAGCGTGCTCCTGAGTCTCACATCCCTGGCATCTAGTTCGGGCAACGATCAGGAGGGTCCCCAAGATGTCTGGGGGTGGCTGGCCCGGAAGACGTGGGGACAGCCTGGTCCCTAGTTCCCGCGCCGGTGCACGTATGTCAGGGAAGGCCCTGGGGATAGAGGGCAAAGATCTGCCCCACGGTCATGACTTCTGGATGCCCATAGCCTCTGCTGCCGCTAAGGGGCTCTCGTGTCGGGAGGGCCCTTGGTTCCCGTTTGCCCTTGGTGCCAGGGGTCATCGCGCTTGCTAAGCCCCAGAGCGAGCGCCGTCACCAGCTGAGTCCCCTGGGGTTCTAAGCTCAGTGTCTTGCCTTCAGATGCCGCAGAAGGTCAAGGTAACGTGCGCCGCGCCTCTGCCTGCGGGCTCCCTCTGTCTGGCCTCAGGCACCTCATCCAGACCCCATCCCTGTGCTTTGTCATCTCCCCCACAGTCCCCTCCCTGCACTCTCATACTGGCTGTGACCATAACCATCTTGAGCTTTCCCGCCAGCCCCTCCACGCTGGGTCCAGAGTGGCGGGTTGGGGACATGAATTGTGGGCTTCCAGGAACGCTGCCTGCTGGTGCCTCTTGCAGCTTGGCTGGGCCCCAGGGTGGCTGCTGGCCCCCCCTCCTGGCCAGCAGCTAGCAGGTTAGGCAGGACTGTGGCTGGGATGGCAGTGACTGTGCAGGTGCCCTCTGGGGTGGTGGCTCCCTCTGAACCAGCACCCCCTGCCCAGGGCCCAGAGACACAGCCTGATCCCTCTTGGAGCAGCGCAGGGCTGGGCCACTGCAGGTCCCAAGTGGGTGAGGAAGGAAGGAGGTTCAGTGAGGCACAGTTCATACTTGGCAACCATTAGATTTGAGCAGCTGTCACCAGCCCCCTCCCCCCCCCCCGATCCTGGGTGGGGACGGTGGTGGCTCCTGCCACCAGGAAATGCTTCTTGGATCATGCTGTGCTGCTGGGTAGGCCACCCAGGCAAGAGGATGCTGGCGTTTCCATGGTGACTCCTTGGCCATCTGCCCCTCCTTGCCTGCCTCCACTGTCACTCCCTCTCCCTCCCAACCCTGCGCCACAGGTGCCCCACATCCCATCTGCTGGGTGAGTCGCCATCTTGACGTGGCCCAGCTGCTGCACAGGGTGGGGGTGACAGGTCCCTTGATGCATGCATTAGTGTTGCCTCCAGTGACAGTGGTGTCTCCCCTTGGGCAGAGCAGTGGCAGGACAGCCTGACTGCAAGTAGGGGCCCCAGGCAGCCCGGGCACAGGGGTTGGGTGCCCGCTGCTGACTGTGCCTTGCCTTGCAGAGGGGCTCAATGCCGACTACTCGAGGGGGCAGAACCTGGAGGCTGTGGTGTGCGAGGAGCCTCAAGGTGAGGAAGTGGGCAGTGCCTCTGCGGCCAGCCCAGCTGCGGGCCCTGGGGCAGGCGGGAGGGGCTCGCGGCTCCGGGGCTGCCTGGCTTCTGCTTGTGGCCTGTCTGGTTCTGAACACAGGCACCCTTCCCCCCATGCCTTCAGCAGTACTGGGCCTTCCCGGTGCCTCCTGCCTCGGTCCCTCACTGCTTTATTTCTTCCTGCATTTCTCAGTAGTGCATCTTGTCTGTACAGGTGCATCAGTGTTATGCTGATACACACTTACAGTAGCCAAGACACAGACCAGTCTAGGGGCCCAGCACTGCTGACTGCGTAAGGAAACTGCTTTATACACATGATGGAGTACTACTCGGCCATGAAGAAGAGTGAAACCCTGTCACGTGCAGAAAAAATGATGGATTGAGAGATCATCATGCTGAGGGAAATAAGCTAGAAAGACCAGTAGTGTTGTTCTCCCCAAGATGTGGAATCTAAAAAAGATGACAGGAAAGCAGAAGAGACTTAGTAGACAAGAGGAAGGGAATATGGCAAGGGGGCCAGGGTGGCACCCACAGGGATCACAGTCACAGGAAGCAGCCATTGCCCTGGGGCTTGCATGCTGTGCTGGGAAGCAGGGGGCTGGGTCCACACGTCCTGCTCAGAACACTCACCTGGTGGTCCTGCCGCAGATGGCCTAAAGCAGCTCTGGGTCCAACACAGCCACTAACAGCATTCACTGTTGGTATGTCTGGAGGCCATGGCCACGCCACACCTCCATCGCTCATACCGCTGGCCCCTACCTTGGACGCCCTTCCCATCCCCTTGAGTTCCTAGTCCTGAGGTGGAAGTCATTCTACAGAGCCACAGTGCTGACACCACATGGGGCAGGCACAGGAGAGACATGCAGTTCCGTGGCACCGAGTGAGGCTCCAGAAACAAGCCCAGGCACCCAGCTAGCTGGGGTTCTTGACAAACGGACCCAAAACACATGCTACAGGAAAGATTTTCTTGAGCAAAGGGTGCCGGGAAACCTGACTGTCCACTTGTAGAAAGTACAGTAGAGCCGCATCTCTCACTATGCACTACTGTAAAATCAAAATGCATCAAACTCAGTGTTAGAAACAGTCTGCGGCCAGCAGAATAGGCAAAGCACTTGAAGATGTAGGTATAGGCATAGGCAGGGTTTGGGACAGGACCCCCGGTTGCACAAAATAATAATAAGAATCGACAAATGGGATGAAATCAAATGACGAACCTTCTGCACTACAAATGAGACACCTAACAGGGCAGACAGCCTACAGAATGGGAAGAAAAATTTGCCAGCTATGCCCCAGAGAACTGAACTAATATCAAGAATATATATGAATCTCAAAAACATTAGATCCCCCCCCCCAGTAAAATACTCCAGTGGCCAATGTTCAGCATCCCTGGCCATCAAAAAATGCAGATCAGTCCTGACCAGGGTCTTCGGGCATCACAGGAGATCCTCAATCTCCAGGTAAGGATAGGAGCCGAACCCCTTGCAGAGCTCCGTCTGTCTCCTTGCCCTGGCCCCCGGCCCTACCCCGAGCCCCTGACTTGGGGCAGTGCTAGGGACACGCAGAACTCCAGGCCATAAACACGAATGGCTGTCCTTTCTCCTCTTGCCCCTCTTCTGCAGTGGAGTACTCTGCGCTGCAGACCCAGGCAGCAGAGCCGCCGCCACCCGAGGCACCCCGCATCTGAGCTCTGGGCTCAGCTGGCAGCAGACACAGGGGGCGCCACCGCTTGTGACCCAGCTCTGACTTCCCCAGGCCCCTCAGCCACTGTGCTGTGCTCCCTGTGTCATTGGTTTCTTGTCGCTCTGAGTTTTCTAGACAAGCTTTGTGTGTTCGTGAGTGTGGTCTCCGTGCCCATTGTGCAGGGCGCTGCATCCATCCTGCGTGGTTCTGTGAAGAGACTCAGTGCCAACTCGATCAGCCCCGGCAGGTGGTCATCACCAGCCTGGGATCCGCTGGGCTGTGGACCCAAGCCAGCCTGCCTGGCCTTAGCCTGTGGACAGAGACGCCACTGGCACGATGCCGAAGGACAGCTCCGCAGCTCTAGGTGCAGAGCCAAGCCTGGGCAGTGCGGTGCCCCTGCACGCTGGACTGGCTCTGAGAACTGTCAGGGGGCCGGGCATGGCCTCACTGGGACCTCGTAGTGAAGGATCTGGTGCCTGTGTCCATGCCACACCCAGGACGAGGTTTCTTATGGGCTTGCTTCCCAAGTCCAGGTTTCCCGTTGCTGGAGGTTATGCTGGCGCTGGCCTAGGTGTGGAAATGTGGTTGTCCTCCCATCCTATGGGAGCTGGCTGGGGACCTAGGGCTGGAGCAGAGCTGGCTTCAAAGGAGCCCCTGTGTGCCAATGTTAGTGTCCAGTGTCAAGAAGTGCTTGAGAGCATGGGACGCGTCAGTCGCTGCTCACAGGCTGCCGTGGCTCCTTCCTATGCTCTTCGCACTGGGATGAGGCAACTCCCATTTTTTCTAAAGGAAACCAATGAAACCCAAACAGCCCCCATGTGCTATGTACTGCATGCCTAGTGTGTGTGTGTGTGTGTGCGTGTGTGTGTTTGTGATTTTCAAGCCCCCACGGTGGAGGCCGTCGGGAGGCTGCTGTATCTCGGGGGGGGGGGAGAGTAAGACCCCAGACTGCGGGTCTGGAGGGGCTGCGGTGCCATGAAGGGACATTGGCCCAGAAGCCCTGACCTTCAGGAGCTGTGTGTGCCGGAGGCCCTGCTTAAGGTGGTCTGAGCGGTCAGCTTTGTGTGTTCTCACAGCAAGGACGCAAGGCTGCTGGCCACAACTGGCCTGGACATGGAGGTGGAGGGTTCTGCAGCCTGGGCCTGTTGGCACCTAGATAGCAGGGGCAGGGCTGCCTCACTTCCGGTGTGGCCTGTCCACTGGCAGAAGCCTTGGAAGCCCGCAGCCCTGTGTAAAATAAATGCTCTTCGCAAAAACATTTTCTGGGTAGCACTGACTTCAGTGAAAAGCAGCCCACTTTTTTCTCCTTTAGCTACCTCGGTGCCTTCTGCATAAAGCCCTTCTGCATAAAACCCATCACTTGGCCCATGGGCGCTGGCTCCAAGAACCTGGACAGGCCCGGGCCACCCCCCCCAGCCTCCGGTTCGCAGTCTCATCCCAGGGGCTCCCCTTCCGCTGTCACCTCACCCTTGCTCGGGCGCTGTGGCCAACACAAGCCTGGCGGGCTCTTTTCCTAACTGTGTCTACCTGAAAGTTCCTTGGCCGGGCGTGGGTCTGTCCCAGGTGGGATGAGGGGAAGGGCACAGGAAGGGCCAGCCGGAGGGTCCCATCTCTGCCAGCCACCAGCAGAGGGGACACCGGCAGCCTTGGTCGCATCAGAGGGCTGAGGGAAGCACCTGATGGGGAAGCACCCCTGGGTGTGGGCAGGCCCAGCTCTGCAAGGAAGACGTGCCAGAGACCGACCCCCGACCCCGTGCATCCTCACTTGTGCTGTGTCCATGTGTGAACTGTGAATTGTTGTCTCCATTAAACGAAATGGAACTGAGCCTGACTCCTGTGTTCCATGGGGGCCTGGGAATTCAGGAGCAGGCTCACTTGGGACCCCCAAGCTGGGAGGGCTGGCCAGGCAGCTGTGCTGGGCACCTGAGCTTGGTGCAGCTTGGGACAGAGTCAGTATGCCACCTAGAAGAGCCTGGACCTGTCAGCCTGCTGGGCCTGCCAGCCTTGCAGCCTGGGCGGTGCCTACGGCGACTTCGCAGCAAGGGCAGTGGCGGCCCAGCAGCCAGTCCTGCTTCTACCCTGTGCCTAACACAGCTGCAGCCAATTCGCAGGGAGAGGACAGCCCACAGGGTCGGGCTCAGCCTGAGAAAGCACGACACCCCACAGGCTCAGGGGCCATGCTTTCTGAGGTTCCAGCCACAGTATTTGCCACTGGCAACAAATCCCATGTGAGATGTAGCAAATGAAGTCATGCGTAGACACTGCACACGAGATGTGGCCATGTCACCTCATCATGACTCATCTTCCCCAAGGGAAAACCCATGGGAACACTTGCCAGAGAGTGCCAACCAGAAGGCGAGGGAACAAACGTTGTCATTTTAATTACAGGTGGAAAGACAGTGCTTCAGATGAGGAAAAAAGACATTGAAGCAGTTCTTAAAAACCCAAGGCTTTACATTCCAGCACACTTGGACAAGAGAGAGGAGCTCAGGTACTGAGGCAGCCTCCGGGAGATCGGGAAACAGTTCTACGAGAGGAACAGACTAAGGGCAGCGCTCTCTTGTGCTTCTTTAAACCCAGTGGGATGGTGCAGGGCCCACGGGTCAGGGCTGACCTCCTCAGGAGCGACCCTTGGCCACTCGGGGCCGTGTGCCATGACCACTTCAGCACACTTGGAACTGACCTGCTGTAGCAGCAAGGAGCAGTCTATGCGCTCCTAAGTGAGCTTTGGGCTGGGGGGAGCCTAAATCAGTAGTTAATGTCAAATGCAGTGTCACTCAAGGACATCCTCACATGATAAAAATGAACGGATCGATTTTAGGGTGCCAGGTCACTGTGAATAAATATTTCTTTCTGGTAGTTTATACAAGGAGAATTTTCTGTAAGAATCACAAGGTTCCAAGTTGAAAGAACACCTATTCTCTATCTATTTGACAGGTATATAAATTTTTCTGAACAATCTATTTTCAAAAATAATGTGTAGGACTATGTGGTGTCCAGAACCTGACTGGGTCCGAGGCAGTGACATCAATGCACCTGTCCTGGGGGACCTATGAACTTCTAAGGCAGCTGACCTTGTGCTGTGCTGTGGTGATGTCCTGGTGACCTGCAGAGATGGGCCAAGAGTGCACGATGACCTCACTCCTAAGGGGACCATGGCGGTGTAGAACCGAGAACTGCGGGGTGAGACCAGCCAGGCTGGGCCTGAGAAGGGAAGCGCACCAGGCTCTCTGACTGACAGGGCCAGGTGGGCATGTGGGCAACCCAGGGCGAGGGGCCCTGTGGGGAACAGGAAATACCACTCTGCCCAGGCAAGGGAGGGGCACCTGTGCAAAACTGCTGAGTCCTAGGCTATGCGCAGCAGGGCCAGCACTGAGCATGCCTATCCACAGCCAGGGCCACTTCAGGAGGCAAGTATCAGCTAGGCTGAGAACAGTGAGATGCTGCCACAGAGGTGACTGTGTCCAAGTCTCACTTCACATGTACCACAGTTGTCAGCAGGGCAAGCAGAAAGACTTCCTCTAGCAGAAGAGGAAGCAGACACCTCTCCTGGCAACTACTCTAAACATAAAAAAGGACATAGGAAAATAAAGGCCTGTTTCTCTCTTTAAAAAATACCTTCTATGTACACAGCGGGAACTGGAGACAAGGCTGATGGTACACTTCTCCCCAGATGTTTCATTTGAGATCAGTCTTCAAGCTGTGGCACAGCACTGAGAGCGTTCCCGCAGCTGGCAAGATTTGTTTGACAGAGAGTGACCTCCGATGGCAAGGGCATGAGATGTCCAGGAGGCTGAGCAGGAGGAAGGTGTGTCACATGGTGGGCGTGGCTGCTGATGGGTACTGGGCTGTTCACAAGACAGAAAGCACTTGGCCAAGGTGGGTGCTGTCACCTAGCCACATGGACAGTCCCTGGGCCTCTTACACCCAGAAGATGGTCCGTGGGTCCCCGGAAGCCTCGTCATAATAGTCACAGCCATGTCCCGAGCTCCCAGGGAGATGTGCAGGGTTGGGGTGGCCCGAGATAGTGGCTTGCCCATCAGACCGAGGTATGGACTGGAGTGGCCGAATGCGATGGTGAAGAGCCCTGCTCAGAGGATGATGAGACGGCGCGCGCGGCCACCTCCCGTTGCAGGTCCTCTACACGCTTCTGCAGCTCAGCCCGAACGGCCAGCAGCTCCTTGAGATTTTGGTGTATTGGCATCTATGGGGTAGAGATGGGGCAGAGTTAGCGGCTGGCCTGGAGGTGCTCTTGCTCCTACGCGGCACTGCAGCACTTAGGCCTGGGCTCCGCTCCAATGCCCACACTGCCAGGCTTCCTGGGCTTCTGGCCGCTTTCCCATTCAGTGCATGGTGACTCGGCCCTTGTAAGCTGGGAGCACCCGCTGCTACCTAGCCCACCCTGAAGCTCCTCCCTGGCTCCTGGTGCACTTGGGACCTCAGGCCCAAGCCCTCCTGGATGGACCCTCAGCATGGCCAGTGGCCAGCTCGAGGTTGCTCCCCAGGCGTGCTCGCCAGTATCCCCAGCTCTGTGAGCTCTGTGCTATCTGCGCAGCATGGTAAGTCACTCTACCAAGTGAAGGAGCCTTAGTGAAGAAGCCCCGTTTCCGGCAAGTGGCCTCCACTGTCAGCTGAGGCAGGTGGGCAGAGGACCTGGCTGGGCAGTACTGGGAGGCCACCAGCCCTCCTCCCACTATGCCTCGATGCCGCTCCACCCCAGGGTGTTGCTCCCACCCACCCTCTGTGGGGGCCCATGATGCACTGTGCTGGCAAGGCATCTGGGTGGCTGCTAGCCGAGAGCCGACGAGAGTGCCAGGCAAAGAATGACAGAGGCCCAGGGCAGAATCTGGGGAGCCCTTCCTATCCCCTCATATATCTGAGAGCCAAACTGTGCGCCACTCTCCAGCCTTAACCTGCGAGTCACACCCTGCCCACAGCCCCACTCTGCTCTCCAGGTCCTGCAGTCCTCCCCACCTGGAGGCAGGGGAGGGAAGAGCAGGTGTGGGGGACAAGCCTGGAGGGGCCACAGGAAGATGGGTGGGCACAGCAGCAGGGGGCCTTGGAGCCAAAGTTGATCCCAGAGGCCATGAGGCGGCACCAGCTCCCCTCTGGCCTGGGCCTTATCTGCTCGGTGCATTCTGGTCTCCAGGATCATCTGGCCTCAGAGGAGGGAAGGCTTTGCATTTGTCACCATGGCCAGCACAAACACAGAGCCCTGGAAGAGCAGCACAGACACGGTCTCAGGCTCGCCTGGGTCCAGGGCTGTGCAAGCGCGCTGCTGCCGCCTGCAGCTGCTGCGGGGCCTTTCTGCTTTTCTATAGCTCAGCTTCCTTTCCAACTGAGCAAAGACATGCCAGAAATCACCGAAAACCCCAAGGCTTGGCAAGGACTATACTGGAGAAAATCCCAGGGATAGGCTGCTCACGCACCGCGCGGGTGCCGTGCGAGCCACACGGCAGGAGGGCCCAAAGGAAGGACGCTGTGTGGCCATGCCCCAGTGGATGCAGATGGAGCCTCTTGGTGGCTCTTCTGCGCTCCTGCCTAGTCAGAAGGACAGGGCCTTTCCTCCTGTGAGTCCTTCTCAACCCTGGCTTGCTGCAGCCTTGCCAGCCTGCTGTGCCCCTACGGCCGTCCCTGTGCCTATACCTGTCTGCACACACCTACTATCAGCCCCTCCAGCATGCCCTGCTGCCAAATTCTCTCCACCCTCGAGCTGGCTGCACGGGCCCTTCACCTGGCAGCTGGCCAATGCATCCTGCTGTATAGACCAGGTAGGAAGTGCCACCCACCTAGCACGGTGCGGTGCACCCTGGATGGCCTTGCATCACCTTACAGCCCTCAGAGGCCTCGGCAAGACCAGGGCCGTGCATCCTGCACGCGCAGGACTCCCACCTAGCACCAACAGGGGCAGCATCAGAGGAGGCAAGGGCGGGGCAATGGCTAGGTCCCTGTGCTTACATTCCTGCAGCCTGGACCTGGGCGGTTGTGGCTTCTGTGGTGCTGGGAAGCCTCATTTGAGCAAAGGCTCCCCGTCTACAGTAGAGAAGGTGGATTTCTGTTAGTCTTCAAGGGTTCACCCACTTTCTGTCCTGGGGCCCCAAGACCACTTCAGTAAAATTGTGACATTATGACATGCCACAGCCCATCATCCCACTGTTCAAACACGAGGCAGAGGCTGCACAGGGAAAGGGCCAGTCAGGCGGGGAGGATAGAGCTGCTGGAGGGCTCTGCTGGCTGACTGGAAGGAATCCTGCTGTGACAAAGTGGCCCACATGATGGGAGAGGGCTGTGGCCAGGGCTCCAGGGAAGAACAGCAGACTATCGGGCACCTCCACTTCCACAGGACCTTCATGAGCAGCCTATGCTATGGGAGCCACAGCCTGGGAGCATGAGAGGGGACAGATACAGGCAGCAGAGTATGAGGACTGGCTGCGAGAGTACTTGGGTCCCAAGGGAGGCAAGGCCAACTGAGAGGGGCTTGAGAGGAGCCACATCTGAGAGGGACACACAGGTAATGCAGCGAGGGCACAGCATGGAGAAATAGTAGGTGGGTGGCACTGAGGCATGGTGCCACAGCAGAGTGCCCAGGAGTGGGCAGTAGCTGATGGGGCAGCAGGGTGTGTGGGTCACAGGGAGGCCACAAGAGAGTGACCTTTGCAGCCCAAGGAGGTTCAGGGAAGGATCTCACAGTGTGGAGTCCAGTACTGGCTACCTAGAGGCAAAGGGAATGGTTTGAATACTGGGATTGGCAGCCTGAGACCCAGGCAGAGACCCAGGTGAGAGGGCCGAGAAGTACAAGGGTGGAGAGGAAAGGCAGTTTCTGGCTCCTTGGCTGGTGGAAGCAGTGACGTCACACAATAACGGTGATAGCCTGGTGAGCCCCCAGCAGGTTAACGTGGCCAGGGTGGTGAAGCCTCTGCCACCTGTCTTCTCACACCCCCATGGAGGAGGCAGGTGGGGAGCAAGGAGAGATCAAATCTTCTGTACAGTGGAGCACTGCAGGACCCCCAGGTGTGGTGTCTGAGCCCACAGGGTGGGTACAGGCCTGGCTGATGGGCCCTGCTGTGCGCCACTCTCTCGGGTTGGACAACCTAGAAAAAGGTAGCACGAAGTGGTCGAGAGGGGCCAGAGCAAGGACTTTCATGAGGGGCACCTGCTCTGTGGTAGCACAGGCTGGCTGGCCGGCTGACTGGCTGCCTCTCCACGGCTCCCCAGGCGGGCACAGCAGCTCCGTCAGAACTCACCGTGCATATGTCTACAACACCACCCTCATTTGGAAAGACAAGCAAAAAAAGGTACCTGTGGCCTCATCCGTGGATTCCATCGTACGTAATAGTTTACCCATAACTCCAAATGACTCAGGCTAGCAACAGGATATAAGACGTGGTTTTCATAATTCACAAAGAAGGGGTTAGAAAATTCATCTAGCTGGCTATTGATATAAGACCATAAAGATACAGTCCTTGTGTGTATATCCTGAAAAACAAAAAGGAATGCAATGAAGTAAGCTCTCCCTTCTTTGTATCTGCAACGTACTCGCACGCAGAGAGGAAGTCCCTTGAGTACTTCAGCGAGACACGGTGAGCAGCAGGGCGGGGATAACAGGAGAACGTGAGCTGGGGACTGTCCTGGAGAAACACTACTCAGTCCAACAACATGCGGCCACTGCGTCTGTGGGGGGCACAATGAGCTCTCCACCATGCCCAGGACGCCAGGACTGAGCAGTGACAGACACAAATTTGGCTTCGGGTTTGCTTTGTGGCTCTTCACACTGAGAAATGTGGATGGCATTTCCAACTGAGATCCCTTGTGGCAAAATCCACCGCTACATGCAGAAAGACGTAATGTGGCAGCAAGTGAGAGAAGCTTCCTCCAGAGGAGTACTATTCCCCTCGGTGGACAGCGCCCTGTTTGGAATGCGGTGGCAACTGCAAGGCTCATCTGAGTCTGTGGACGGGTGGAAGAAGGCAGTAGGAGGCCTGAGGAGGTCAGCACCAGGCCAGGGGCTCCTCCCCTCTCCTCCCACCCACACACTGCCTGCTTCCCACAGGGACGCCTGTGAGGACCATATCATTTTCTGCCTACTTTATCTATAAGAGAATCACCACCAATAGTGAAAAGGATCCAGAATAGTCAAGGTAATCTAGGAAAAGGAAGAACGAAGTAAAAGACTCACACCTTCTGCTTTCAAAACTTATAGCAGTGCTACAGTAATCAGTACCAGCAGTGCTGGCGTAGGCTAGACAGGTGGAGATGGATGGGACAGAGGACAGAGGGTAGCAGTAGACTCCCACACCCACAGTCTAAGGACTTTCCACGACAGGAGTGAGACAGCTCAATCAGGGAAGGTCTCTGCAGCCGCCAGTGCCAGGACAGCCTGATAAGCAACACAAAGCAATGATGGTGGACTCATACACAAACTCAAAGTGGGTCACAGACTGAAACGGAGATGCTAGCACTCTACTGGATGCAGATCAGATCCCTGTGATCTTGGCTTAAGCAACAGTGTCCTAGGTGAGACAGTAATAGCACAAGTAATGAGAGAAAAAACAGACACCTGGACTGCATAAACATTAAAAAGTTTGTTTCAAAGGACATCTAGACAGTGAGAAGACAACCCAGAAAGGGGAAATTTATAGATCATGTCTTATAAAGGATTTGTATACATAAAAATTGTGTAAGGAACACCCAGAACTCAATAATAAAAAAGCAAAGTATCCAATTAAAAATAGGTAGAGGGTTTGAACGTACACGTATCCCCAGAAGATACACAAATGGCTAATAAGCACATGAAAAGATCATTATTAGGGAAATGTAAATCAAAACCACATCACAGCATACAACATCTCAACATTAAAAAAATAGCTTTTATATAAACCAATAATGAGGGACCGGGGAGATGGCTCAGTAGAATAAGCACTTCCCTGGCAAGTGCAAGGGCCTGAGTTCAATCCCCAGCTCCACCAAAAAATAAAATAAAATACATTAAACCAATAATGAACCCCCTGAAAAAGAAATCAAGAAAGCAGTTCTATTCACAGCCCAGATACCCATCAGTGGATGAAGAGATAAAGGAAGTGTGGGCTTTATATTCAGTGAAGTACTATTCTGCCATAAAGAAGGACAAACTTGAGACATTTTCAGGGAAATGGATGTAGTTTGAGACCATACTTTTAACTGAAATAAATCAGACATATATGCTGAAACCATGGAGAAACTGGAACCCTTCAACAGTGTTGGTAGGAATGAGTGTAAAATGTTACAGCTGCTCCGGAAAGTAGTCTGGTCATTTCCTTAAGAGGTTAAATGTAGACTTACCATAGGGCCCAGAAATCCCATTCCTAGGTTTACATCCAAGAGAAATGAAAGCTCATATCCACTCAAAGTCTTGGGCAAGAGGGCCAGGGAGATGGCTCAGTGGAATAAGCACTTCCCTGGCAAGCACAAGGGCCTGAGTTCAATCCCCAGTTCCTCAAAAAAAAAAAAAAAAACACCAAAGTCTTGGGCAGGAGTGTGGGCAGGAGTGTGAGCATTGTTACAGGCAGAGGAGCCAAAAAGTGAAAGCCCTCACATTTCTACTAGCCAATGAATGGAGAGACAAAGTGTGGCGTACGAGCGGGCCCAGCAAGCACAGCGTGCAGGGATAAAGTCAGTCCTGAAGGCCAGCTACTACACGCTCCACTCGTGTGACATGTCCTCAATAGGGATGCCCAGCATGACAGAAAGTAGGAGAATGAAAGGGGACTGACTACAGGCCTGGAGTTCCTTTTGGAGTGACAAAATGTTGTAAAGTCAGATATGGGTGGTGGTGCAAAACTTAGGACTACCCTAAAGCCACTACACTGTACACTTTAGATGAGTGGATGCTGTCTTTATTTATTTTAAGGTGGAGTCTCAGCACACTGCCCGGCTTACACACTGAACCGTGTGAGCTCAAGCGTCTTTCCACCTCCGTCTCCCGAGTAGCTGCAGCTCTACGCACGCACCCCTGCACCTGACCCATGACTTGATTTCACGGCGTGTAAACTGTAGCTCAAGAGGCTTGACTTTTCCTCACTCTTTCTCCTTTTGTTTTGACACAGCGGCTCACTATGTAGTCCAGGTTGGCCTCGATCTCACAGTAGTTCTCCTGCCTCAGTCTCCCAGGTGTGGGGATTACAAGCATGCACCACCATGCCTAGAGGAAGCTGACTTTTTTGATGAAGATTACGTCTTATCTCCTCTCAAAACCCATGATTTAAATTGTTTTAAAACATTTTTATTAGTGCCTACTAGTTATACAGATTAACGGGCTTTGTTCTGGCAGATTCATACATGCAGGTAACAGATTTGATTGCCCCCCTGCTTGTCTGCCTTTCACCGCTTGCTCACTTCTCTGTCTTCCTCCAACATAGTTTCAATTCTAGTATTTGAGGTTTTCTCTTCTACTTTTTTTTTTGTTTGTTTGTTTTGCAGAACCGGGGATTGAACTCAGGCCCTTGCGCTAGCCAGGCAAGTGCTTATTCTACTGAGCCATCTCCCCGGCCCCTTGCTCTTCTACTTTCTTCTTTCATTCTAAGTGTGTTTATTTAGCTATAACACACACACCATGAAATTGATCTTTTTCCCCCTCTTTTCATGAAGAAGCAAACAGGTTCCCACACCGGGCCCTCGATAGCATGCCTTCTGTCCTAGTCTCTAGAGCGCTGTGGGCTCACGGCTCCCAGCCCCAGAAGGACACTTGTGCTGGAGCTGTCGGCACCCCAGGAGGGAGATGCCCACGCCCCGCATCCAGGGAGCAGCAGGTGCAGACGCCAGGTCTTCCGCAGTCCAGGCCGCCGTCTACAGAAGCCCTTACTGGGAGAGGCGCCGGAGCCGGAGGGGAAGGAAAAACTTCTTACCTCTTTGAAGCGCTCTTGCTCACAGTTGCACAAAAAGGTCCCAAAGAGACAGCTATAAAGGTGATCCAAAATTGTAATCAAGAACAGTTCATTAAACTCGAATGCTGAAGGAAACTTAAGTGGAGAGAAAAACAAATTTTAGTTTTAAAGTGGAATTTCTAAAACAGAGTCATAGCATGTTTCTGCAAATGGCAGCTAGTGCTAAACTACAATCTGGAAGGTACTCGAAGATTCAAAGGCAGACTGCACCCCACACAACTTATCTACAGCTCCAAGTCAAAGCTGACAGACCTGGCTGAGGAGCAGCGGGAGGCAGCACGAGGTGCTGCGCTCTTCAACACCCGAGATGTTTCTGTACCTTCCAGTTCTCATCAGGCAGAGCAGAGCGAGATTCACTCTTCTGCCAGAAAGAACTAGAAAGCTGGCTAAACTATATGAAGTGAATGTTTTCAGACACTGGCCACAGGCAACGTAGGGCTGGGACCCCGGGAAAAGGAACTAACTGAGGGAACATTAGTACTGTTCCAGTTTCCCGCCTAGAGGCACAGCAGCCACAGAGCCAAAAGCAACTCAGGAAGAGAAAGCAGATCTCAGTAGCTTTGTGTATTACATAAATTGTGGATCTTGAATCCTTACCAACACATGAGCACACTGAGCCTGAAGAATAGAAAGAGCAATGTGACAAAACCACGTGGGCTCGGCCTCAGGAAGGCAAGGCTATTTGACATTTGAAAATAAATTTTACAAATTAACCTTTCTAATTCAATATATTAACAGAGGAAGGAACGAAACCACAGGACCATCGCAACTGTTTTAGGTCTTGCATGATGGGCTTTTGCGGACTCCCCATGAAGGCTGTGAGCACTGTCCACAGGTTCCAACCAGTAGCTGGCATTTAGTAGCCAGGACCATCTGGAAGTAATAATAACCCACAGCAGGCATGTGCCAAGTGCCTGCCACTGCCAGCTTCCTCATTTTAAAGCACAGTGAAATACTCATCACCTACTGAGTGAAGCAAAGCCACTTAGAACAGAACCCAGTAGAATCACCCAGGGCGTCTGCCCTTAAGTCACTTATGTAAAGACCTATTCTCCAGCCAGAGTGAGATTTGCATACTGTCGTGACTAACTCTGAACCTCTAAATGAGAGCCAGGATCAGGGATAGACAAGTTAACTTTTCCGGCCGAGCTTTTCTCCATTACTAGGTGAGCTACAGGCTTTGCTGTTAGAAAAAACAGGACTGTCCCAAGTCCACTTGGAATTGGGTTTCCTCACCCAGCTGTTCTACTCACAGCTGCACTGAAGAAATAGTGGGCTCCTCAGTTACGGTTTGTGTCTGGGGGTCCCCATGTAGTCAAGGGGCGGGCTCTGGAGTGTGTGATTAACTCGTGATCCAATGCTGGGGTTACGGTGTGAGTGCTACACCCGCCCTGGGGCACACAGCCTGAACACAACGTAAGAAAGGGAGACGCTTGCTCTCTGCTGCTCCTTCCTTTCTGCCCTTGCTGTTGCCCACCACCATGAGCTGCTGCCCTGAGCCCTGTGCCGCTCTGCCTTGGAACCAGCTGAGCATAGACTGAAACCTCCACAGACTGAGAGCTATATAAACCTTTCCTTCCTTCATTTTGGGTGTCAGATATTCTGTTCCAGCAATGAGAGAAAAGTACTGAGACACTGTCCTCCTTAGGAGCTTGTCTCATAGAAATACGTAATTCTCTTCTTAAGAGCACCAACAGAACACCTGCTCGGCCAACCTCTGGAAACCAGCTATGGCAATGTTCTTACTGGTGTTCTCCTTCTTTGATGACCTAGACCAACAACATACTGTCTGTAGATGAAATGTGAACAGCCACCGGTCCCGGGCCTCCGAGACTGCCCCTGATGGCCTCAGCAGTGGCTGCCCACTCCTGCTGGCTCTGGGCCAGGTGCACCTTGACCATTCTTGCACCACTGCCGTCTGCTATGTAGTTATGCCCTCTGGATAAAATTCTTGGCACCACACAATTTATTAATTTGAATAGCTGTATAATGTTTTCATAGCCTGAACATTTAAAAATCAAGGAAAGGGATGAAAATACAGCGTTTTATCTTACATTCTATTTTCTTTTCTTCTTTTTTTTGGAATTTAAGGAAAGGGCCAAAAGGGGGCCAAGGGCCGAACAACAAAATGGAACTGGAAGGAACCCCCCGCCTAAAACCCCCCAAAAAACCGGGAACAAAAAGGCAAAACAACAAAACCAAGCCCAAATGCCAACCCAACAACGCCCGGGGGCAAGGCCAACAAAACAGGCCTGGGGATCGAACCCTAGCCCCTACTCCTGCTTGCAGGTGCTTCAATCTGCTGAGCTATTTGGCCGGCCCTTATATTCTATTTTCAAACATTTAAGAATAAACATTTACAGACAAATCAGCAAATTACTGACATAGTTTTAAGATCATATGAGTGCTATGGACTATTTGGGTCCTCAAAATTCACAAGTTGAAATCCTAAGGTGGTGGGTTTCACGAACAGCATCTCAGGTGAGAGGCACCTGAAGTATTCTAATGTAAACCTCTATTTTCTTTCTTAAAATCCAATAAACAATAAATGGACACAAAAACAGGCACTAAGCAACATGAAGAATGGAAATAAGCTTGAAGGTGCTCCTTTACCCATATACCCATGCCCAACCCCCACACCTGCTGCTTGCCGTGTTTGTTTGTTTGAGATAAGGTCTTACTATGTAGTTCAGGCTGGCCTTGAATTCACTTATGCAGCCCAGGCTGACATCAAATTCACAGCACCCCTCCTGCCTCAGCCTCCTGAGTGCTGGGATCCCAGGACTGCTGCTCCCTGCTTTTGGCCTGCCATGCCTCTAAGAGTGTTTCTCCTGTACGAGGCTCCTCTGCCATGCCACCCTGCCTTGGAACCAGCTCGCTATAGAGTGAAACCTCTCCAAACTGGTCTTGTTAAGTCACTAAATTGCCCAGGCTACTCTCAAAACTGTGATCTTCCTGCTTCAGTGTCCCAGAGTGCCAGGATGACAGGTATGTGCCTGTACGCCCTGTTCTTGTTTCATAATGCTGCTGAGAAAAAGAAAAGCAGTGCTTTCCTGTCTAGGAGCTAAGGTCTCTAAATAGGTAACTAAGTTTAAAATGGTGAGTGAGTCCAAAATCAGTATGACTGGTGTTCTTGCGTGAACCGGTTAGGACGTAGGCCTGTACACATAGAAATTGAGTACTGGGATGGACTTCTGGGAAGATGGCAGAGTGTTAAATAGAGAAGCAGCCTCTCCGAGATTTGGTGTCTAGATGCTAGCATGCAGCAGCATGAGGAACAGGAGAGAAGTGGGTCCTGGAGAGCCCCCTTGGAGATCCTGAAGCAATAACTGAAGCCCACGGGGAGAGTGAAGAGCGGGGACAAAACACAAAAGACAGAGGTGGCAAGCGCCCGCCTCCTGCGTATGAGGGGCTGTTGGACTCGCAGACATACAATGACTTCTGGCAGTCCCTGAGGCCTCCAAGGAGAAATGCGCCCCTTGCGGCAGCATACTGCAGCAGCCTGTGAGTTATTGGCATTCTGATGTCCCCCAAGAGAGGAGGGTGACTGGCTGTAAGCCATTTGGTGAGGGGCAACTGGGCTTGAAATGACAGCAGCTGTGCCCAACCCCACCTAGCGACGTCCAGTGTCAAGGTGAGGCAGAGCTGAGTGCAAGTAGGAGGTCAAGGGGCAGGGGAAGCCAGCAGGGAGCTGAATTCAGGCTGGCAGGGGGTGCACACAGTGCTACAGGCTGAACAAACCAAGGGTGAACTTCACAGCCAGAAATCAGCATGAACGTCAGAGAACCTAAAGGCGCGGGCTTGCTGGGGTGGGCCACTACTACAGCGTAAAGCAACACATATCTGGGCTCCGCCGTCCATCCGCTCTGTCTACCAGGGACAGCAGAGACGCACCTGGAAGTGGACTCATTTTTTCCTTGTTTCTTGTTGCTTTTATGTATGAACACCTTCAGTTGTCTGCTGTTCTCTGTTCTTGCTGTTTCGTCCTTCTCTTTTCCTGTCTTTACCAGTCTCCCCAAATTCACCTGGACTTCCCTTTCCCTCTAGCCTTGCCTCTAATCTCCGCCTTGTCTTCCAGTTGTCTATTTTCCCCCAACTCCTGTTCTATTACTGATTGTACTACTTTAGCCACAGTAACATAATTGCTCTACTCAGTGGTTCTTTCTGGTCTGCCAAAAGTGAGACTGCCTAAGGGTAATAAATAATTCTAAAGGCATTAGCATTATGCCAAAGCACCAGGGGGCTGCGTCGAGCAGGCAGCCGCTTCTCATCCCCAATAAACTGAAGAGGCTGGCTCTTACAACAGACTCAAAATGCAAAGTGAGCTCCACCTAGAAGACATCTCTGAGATGTGTCATTTCCTCGACACTAGTGATAAAGGAACCTAGCATAAGCACTTTATAAGCATCAACCCAGTAATTAAGCTAAAAATTACACACACACACACACACACACACACACACACCCCAAAGCATTTGGGAAGAATACACTAATTCTCATCCACAAAAATAGCATTTACCTCATTAGAGTTTTAAAATGGTATTTACCTCATTAAAGACATAATTATTTTTGCATTCAGCCTTTTTATGCAATTATTCTAAAATGCATTTCCTGTTTAATCTAAAGGTGTTAATCATGTAACTCCGTTACTGGCTCAGCATCATTCCAAAAAGCTGGAAGTATGGGGAACATAACACAGCAGGATTTCTGGCCAGCCTTCTCAGCTTGTATGTGCTGTTACCTGCCACTTGTACAGGTGGCATGCCTCCCCTTGAGACCAGCCATTTGCCTATGTGGCTATTTTCAACCCACTGTGACCTGGTTCTCAGGCAACATGAACCCCAGTTGCTGCACTGCAACTGGGTCTAAATGTAAGGATCAATTCTAGCACTCAGGAGGCTGAGGCAGGATGATTGCTGCAAGTTTGAGACCAGCCTAGGCTACAAAGTGAACTCAAGGTCAGCCTAACCTGCACAGCAAGACTCTGTCTCAAGAAGATGAATGAATGAATGAATGAATGAATGAATGAAAGGGTCAGTTCCTAGTGAGATGGGGGCAGATAGCTCAGTAGAATAAGCGCTTGCCTGGCCAGCACAAGGGCCTGAGTTCAATCTCTGGTTCTGCCAAAAAAAGAAAAAAAGAAAGAAAAGAAAGAAAAGAAAAAAGAAAAGAGTTCCGAGTGAGGGCCTGAGCACTCCGTGGTATCTATTGTGGCTAAGAGAAGCTCCTTAATCCTCTTAATTCTGAAGACAGATCTGTGTTTTCCAGACCCTTGCAGTGCTCTTGTCTGAAATCCAGCAGCACCAACTGTACCCTGGGCCCACTGTACTCAGCCCAGGGTGTGTGTGTGTGCGCGCATGTGTGTGCATGTGTGCATGCGCACACATGCCTGTGTTCACATGTACGTATTCTCTGGTGGAGAACTTCAGGACTGTGTGCTCAGCAGTCTTGGCAGGGCTGGTCTAGCGCAGTGGGCTCCTTAGCTGACACTGAGCAGGTTTCCCTAAGCTGACACAACAAGGGAACCACAGCAGAACTCACTAGAGTAGAGCCTTGCCTTGTACAGCGGCTTGACAGGAGGCTTGACAAGAAAGAAACTTTGGGTGGCCTTGAAACTGATGGTTTCTAATTTTCTGCTTATATTTCTAAGTGACGTAGAATCAAAGTGTACTAAATAATAGAAGCGGTATTACATACAGATAAACCTTCTTTTTGAATTAAACAACAGTGAATGAAAGCTTACTATTGTGGCTGAGATCTAACATATTCCCCAAGACCCACTGCTGCTGCTGAGCTCTGGGACAGCAGCTGCCTCGTGGGGCTCTCCCTTGATCACTGGTGGCTTGGCACTGATGAAAGCACAACCTGCTGGCATGACTGCGAGACGACAGAAACAAGAGTGTGGGCCCCAGCTGAATGGAGCGGCTCGTGGGGCTACGCCTGGGGACCTGCTCCTAGTCCCTTTCTCTCCAGCCTCTGCTTCTTGAGGATGTCATGCCCTGCCGCCATGTCTGCCTGGCCACAGGCCTCGAAGCAATGGAGCCAGCTGGCCACACTCCAAAACCTTGGAAATAACCCTTTTGTCCTTTAAGTTGATTTTCCCAGGTATTCTGTTACAGCAGTGAAAAGCTGACTGCGTGTTTATCTAATCTGCAACTTTAAGATGTATTTGAATTGAGAAGTCCATAGGTCAGAAATATACTTGAGATTTCTCACCTGTCTTGTCATTTGCCAAACACAATCGATAAACTGAAGGAATATGGGCGATCGGTCAGCATCTGCATGGTTGCCATCGCCATGGCCCACTCGCTGAAAAGAAACACAAGGTTAAATGTCTTCTGGAGTTCTATGCTTCTCCTGAAGAGTCCTGGTGGCAAGAGTGCTGTAGACCTCATCAAGTCTATCGGCTGGGGATGTAGCGGAGGGCTGGAGCACTGGCCTAGCGTGCACAGGCCCTGAGTTCAGTTCCCAGTGCTAAAAAAAAGAAGCACTCAAAAATGCTCATCAAATTGGATCGACTTTCATTTCCGTTAGGAAACCAAATTTCTGCTTACTATATTTTTACATGTTGATGTCTTTCTAAAGCTGACATCAAGAAACAATAAGCAACTGGCTAGCCGGCTTCTCCACACAGGAGTAGGCAGTGCGAGCACACAGGAGCAGTGCAAAAGCACCAGCGAGCAATGTGCAAAGCAGATCATGACCGTCATTTTGTCCATGAGTATAATCACATTTTGCTATCTTCCACAAAGTTCAGGAAGCCTACACAATCAGAATTGCGATTAGCAACCTACAGATTTTTAACCAATTCTGCATGACTCAGAGCAGGCCAAAAGCTCACTCTTGAAATGCTAATAGGGTAGAGTCCCTGTGTAAGGAAGCCTAATGTTGTCTCTTGTAAGAGCTGATATTTGTATTAGTGACCTGTACCAAAAGGTAACATCCTTAACCTCATGAACAGGATTGCCAACCACACCAAAAATGTCACAGGTAAAATGACAGCTGAAGGCGTAAGGGTTTGAGAGAAGCTCCTGCTGGGGAGATGGCTCAGTAGAATAAGCACTTCCCTGGCAAGCCCAAGGACCTAAGTTCAATCCCTGGTTCAAAAAAAAAAAAAAAAAAAAAAAAAAAAAAAAAAAAAAAGAAAAAGAGAGAAGCTCCTAATGACCTGACAGCTAAACAAAAGCATACCTGGGGAAAAACCCATGAGGACAGAATGCAATCAGCACAGCAACACACAGAGAGTGAGAAGGACTTGAGTCATGAGATTGCTTCCAGGGAAGACACAGAGACGGGAACTGAGCAGGTCAGGGTTAACAGCTGAGAGCAACAGTGCATCCCTGCATATACACACACTACATACACTGTACATATGTGCAGTGGATGCATGTATACACACACACACACACACATGCATTTTAATCATTTAGTCACTTAATATATAAAAGTACACAGTTTAGTGGCTACCCAAGGGGATTATGATTGGTAAAAAAGACCCTGACTATATTTTTCTAATGAAAATATGTGCTTTAGCAGAATAGTAGCCAGCTGTACATCTCAGTAGCTGCACTGGGAGAATACAAGAAGCAATCCTGGGCTGGCCAGATAACTCAGCAGACTAAAGCCCCTGCTTAAGCAGGTGCAGGGACTGAGGTTCGATCCCTGGCATGGTGTGCCGGCCCCACCCCTGGGGTGTGTTAAGGCAGAGACTGAGACTGGGTGTGGTGGCGTGTGCCTGTAATCCCCGCGCTTGGGAGGCTGAAAAACAGGAGGATCACTACAAGTCCTATCTGTGTAGTGAGACCTTGTAGACCCTGTACTTAATACATAAAAAAAATCTCTGATACAAGAAGCAGTCCTTGTGTGCATCCATTTGGTACAGTGCATGTGTGTCAAAAGTGTCACAGGATGAGCTTTTTCCCCCACTCTGCATACACCACGTTATGTTTTTGTGTATTTATAATTCTTCATCACATGTTTTCTTATTTTTCTTGTAGAATTAGCCCAATTCAGTATAGTGACATGAAAATCTGCTTCTACAATCTTGGAAGGAGGACAAAAGCAAGTCATCAGGTCATTCAGTCACAATGACTCAATCATGTAAACCAAGGTAGTTGGCAATATATGACAGAGAAATACAGAATGAAGATTTTGATTCAGATGGGGAAGAAAAGTGCAATGTAAGTAAATAATTGATTAGTCAAAATGCTACAAAATGATTTGACTGACGTTTGCAGATACAAAAGTTACATGTCTTGTTATATAGGTCTTGCTTTAAGAAAAGTAAGAAAAGTATAATCATGGGATAAAAAAACTAAAGCTATATTAATATGCTGAGCTGCAAAAGCCAACAACTTCTGACATTGCCAGTCCTATGGATAACTCAGTACTATTATAGACTCCTGGACTATAGTGGATTATTTTGCTGAATTCACGCACCTACATTTAAATGGCAATGGAATACCCAGCTCTGACAAAATGCTACAAAATGGTCATGTGTACCTACCTAGATGATCTAATGTTAAAACTAGGTCAGAAAATGTTGCTAGGTTCTTGCCAGGATGAAACCTATCTGATGCAATTCAATGGAGCCATTGTTTGTAACAGACAAGGTGCTACAAGATGTTTTAAAATACACTACTAATGAAATACAAGTAAAACCTCCTACACATATCAATAGTAATATTCAAAAACATACTTATTATGACACCTCACTAGCTGAACTAAAAGCCTTCATAGCTGGGCTTTATCATTCTAATCGTCGGAATCTAAAAGATTTATGGAGAAATGACAGGTGTGGTGTTGAGATTTTTACAGCGATAATGATATTCAAGAGACTTGCTTTCTTTTAAAATTGTCCACATTTTAATGACAAAAAGATCTGCCATGGGGAAAAAAAGAAAAGAAAACCCTCCAACAATTCGGCTTCTATTCACTCATTTATGAAAGCTTTGTTTTGAACTGTCAAGCAATTCATAATACTATCTGAATACGTGACATCTGACAAGCAACTTATTATTTCATGGTTGCTGAAGGTTTTGGCAATATATGCCAAGTAACCCTTCCAAATATGCTGTAAAAATACATGCCTGGGGAGATGCAAAGACATTTCACTCCTTGAATTTAGAAATTTTTCCTGGAGTTCGGCCATCAGGTCTTTATTTGTACAGTAATAAACAGTATGACATTGTGAACAGATTTGTACCTATTTCAAAAAGTAACCTAAATGTCACATTCAACAACTGGTTCACTAGTTACCCATTGATGTTATGTTTGCTTCAAAACCACCAGTGGACCAGCACAAGAACTCTTCCCAAGAACAAAGTGTAGATTCCTGAAAAAGTGTTGCAAGTTCACAGGAGAGGAAGGTAGAGTACAATCTTTGGACTTCAGGAAGACATACCATGGGCCTCCTATATGGTATGGAAAAATAAAGGCACACCGATACCATGGACAGTACGCCAGGATGCTAAGGCAGCGAAGCTGGGCGGCTGTGGGGCCGCACACCTGTAATCCCAGCACACAGGAGGCTGAGGCAGGTTGTAATTGATTGTTTCAGTAAGCAAACATTTGATGTAGGATCCTGTGAGTTCAAGGTCAGCCTGCACTACATAGTGATCACGTTCAAAGCCACCCTGAACTGGTAGCAAAAACAAACACATTGCTAGTGAGTCCTCAACACAAATGAAGCCAGAAATGGTAACACTTTGCCACAAAATGAAAGGCAGCGTAGATGTCCTTGACGAATTATGCAGCAACTATGATGTCAGTCAAAACACAGCACTGGGCAATGGTTGAGTTCTACTCAATCCTAAACATGTCAGGCATAAAGAATTCACAGCTTACAAAGAAAATAACAAGCACAAAAGATCACAGAGAAATTTTCTTAGAGGAATGGGACTGGAATTGATAAACGTTCAATTGCAATAGAGGAAGAAAAATATGCAGCTGCCCAAAGAACTGCACAAAAGAATTCTGGAGCAGACTGGTGAAACATCACAAGAACCCCCTAAGAAAACAGGAAGACCAGCAAGATGCCAAGTGTGTCCTACTCCAAAAGTCAGGAAAACCAAACACAAGCAGTACTTGTGTATGGAACATGTTGTTTTCATGTGCAAAAACTGCTGTAGGTGTGACAATTGGAGTAAAGATTATTTTGGTGGTAGGGCTGTTTGTATTTTCATTGTAGCTCATGTAGGGATTTCTGTTTTTTAGATTCAGTAAGCAAACAGTTGATGTAGAAAATGATGTTTATTCAAACACTCAGTGTATATCTGCTATTTTATTTTATTGATATTTCATTTTCCTGGTAAGCATACACTATACACTATAATGGGAAGCTCCTGACAAAATAGCAAGACCAGAGTGGTGACAAGTATGGCCTACCATGCAGGAATGCTAAGCTTGCTGCTGTCAGTGTGAGTTATGTATGGAACATGCTCGTGTCATGTCTAAAGGTCACCTTACATGTGATCACTGCAGCGAAGGCTACTTCTGCGGCAGCGTTTATCTGTATTTTCACTATACTTCACATAGGAATTTATTTCTGCTGCAGAAATAAGGTTTTTTAGATTTTGTAAGCAGGCAAACAGTTGATTTTAAAATGTTCATAGTTATTCTACACAATCATTACATATTAAGAAATTATTTTATTTTCTTCCTACATAGTTTAATAAAACTCATCAAATTAAAATAATTCATCAATAGAACTACCCCTAAAAAAAGCATGGGCATCATATACCCCCATAATGACACCTTTTCCAAAAACGTGCTTGATGCCCCTGGTTTAAACACCCTCACCATTACCACCATCCATGTCAGGAGTCTGCTCACTTTCTCAAACTGAAACTGTCCCCACCAGCCGTTGCCCCCGCCTCTTCCCCTCACTCTCTATCCCTGAGTCTAACCCTCCGAGTTTCTTCATATAAGTAAAAAACCACACAGTGCCGAGGCTTTCGTAACTGGCTGCCTTCGCTAAGCATGGCGTCTTCAGAGTGCGTCCACACTGCGGCGTGGAGCAGTGCCCCTTTCTTGTAGAGGCTGACTAACATTCCATGGTATGGCCAGACAAATGTGCTTGGCCTTGTATCTGCAGATGGAGAGCTGGGCAGCCCCCGCCCTCGGGCCACTGTGAGCGATGCCGCCATGTGTACTAATGATCAAACATCTGCTGGAATCCCTGTCTTCACTTCTTTAGGGTACGCACCCGTAAATGGAGTTGCTGGATGGTATGAAATGCCATTTTGAAGGAAGTGCCACACTTCCGTCGAAGCTGACATGCCCCTTACTTCTGTACTCCCTCTGTGTGA